TTAAATTCGTTTTTTCAGAAAGCCTTCAAGTGATATACAAAGCCATAAGTCCAACCAAAATGACAAAACTTCAAACTAGTCTCGTACCTTCATTTCGGGATAGCGAGAATCTGAAACATGTTCCAGTTTGACTCAAATTAATGTGCAAAGGATATATGTCATATTAGGGATTAAAAATCTGGAAAAATCTGAACTTAATTCTATTACAGTGGGAATCAACATTGAGTGTTAATCCCTTTTCACAATTTTATTTAACACTTTATCGTAACTCATACTTTTTATACCAGAGGTTCTCAATTGAGAAACATATGACAATGATTCATTATTAATTGCATATGCTTCTGAATGTAAAATATTACAAATAAAATACATAGTGAACGGAGAAGCCAAACTTTTAACGGTCCAGTTTTCTGTTAGTATAAAATAAAATAAACCATTTAATTTTTGTTTTTATTGGTACATTTTTAGACACGTAAAGGTCATTCATTATTACTAATTGATCTTCGAAAGCTTGTTGAACAAGAAAATACGTGTGGTTATTTTGGTTCTATGATTGTTATCTGTTTTCTTTTTATCATGGATATTTAACCCTTTGGGGACGGTTGGCCCCTTAAGGGGCCATGGCGATTCTCTAGCATCTCAAAACACGCAGATTCCTATATGAGATTAGTTTTTGTGAAAGCATTTATCAGAGAGTTTTTTGGTATAATTTGGATTGTAATTAGGTTATTTTATTCAGATATCCAGTAATAGATTATAAGTTCTTTTAGAAAATAGAAACGTTGAATGATTTATGACGAAATATACAGAAAAAAAAACCCGTCCCCAAAGGGTTAAATCACCTTGAAATCTATTGTAATTTAAAATTCCGATTTATTGATCATATGGAAAGGATGTGGGTATGGTTGTGCGTATCACTGTTTTCCTCACACCCGCACCCACATCCACATCCGAATGTTAGATATCTCTGGTGTTAAATCCAAACCCATACTCCACTCACATCCACATAGTGATCAAAGGATAGTACTGTCCCTTTCTAATCTGTTTATATTTTGTCTAGAATTCTGTGTTATCAAAGACAGCGTATATGTGTTGGTATTCATTAGATTTTAGTAACAGAATTCTGTTTAAATTCTGCTGCTTTTTAAATTCTTCACTAGAATTTCTTTCCTATTTGACATATACAATTCTAGTATGTCTATTCAAAATTTGTATTCTGTTACTTGTAACAGAATTCTGTTTATATTCTGCTAATATTTTTGAATTGTTCATTCGAATTTTTCTTTTCTATTGGAGATATACACTTGTAGTATGGAGCTCTGTCAAAATTCTGCTTGTTTTTGTTAATTCTTAGCAGAAGTTTATTGTGGAGGATGAAGAGTGGCAGTGAATGTGTGTTGACTTCTGCTGATCTTGTTTATCTTCTGCTATTAGAAATAGAATCCTGTCAAATTTCTGCTGTAATTTTTGAGTGCTTATCAGAAGTCTGTTGCTTGACAGGGTGATAGGCTAGTGTAGTACTTAGTAGTCTATTTGCTAATGGAAGTTTATCTTAGCGAGCGAATCCACTGTTTACCGATTTGATTTTCTAAGTTTTGAATTCTGCTTGAGAAGAATTCTGCAGCCGCTCGAAGATTCAGCTGGAATCCTCTCGGACTCAGTCAAACAAAGTGATTTTAATGAAAACACCATTTTTTATTCGTTAGTTATTTGTTCTCATGTCTCACAACGATGTTTTACAGGCTCAGAACTTGTTTTCCACTGATCAATCGACTTTCTAATTAAACTTTTTTTTTGACCAGGCTCCGAGGCGGACCCCAACTGAATTGTTTCGAGTAAGTCGAGCCTGGTTGAAAAACTTCGAAAGACATATAGATCGACTCAGTTTTTAATGCTAATTTCAAATATGTTATTCGTTTTGCCCCAAAGCCTACTAAAAAACCGATGGAAAATGCAAAAAACTGGTATCTAAACAAAATTCAAGTCGTCTTACTTAAGAAAAGTTACTTCCGAAAAATATCGGAAAGTATCCGATTTTGTAGCCTTTCTTACAAGCTTTCAGGATCAACAAAAAGTCCGCGTTGTTTCTTTTCCTTTCTCGAGATATTAAGACAACATTGAACAGAAATATTAATATTGCTATATGATTTTCATGCTTATTTGAAACAAATTTTTTCGTCATTATTCAGCAACAATTCAACTGCTCGAGCTGAAATTTTAACCATAGATAGACTATAGAACAGATCATCTATTGACATAGTTTTCAGTTAGAAATATCTTAGTATGGGAAAATTTATACGAGTCATTCTTCCATGTATGAATCATGCATTTATGCTTCAAAGACGAATTTCAATAATTTGAGCAAAAATGATTCTAGATCCTTTAGAAATCGTTTTATTTTATTACCAAACGGTTCCTCGTGAAATGTTGTATTAGATAAATCATGAATGGAGAAAAACTGGGAATGATCCAAAAACGGCGGCTATGTGCTCCCATCTTTTATCATTGAAGCGATCTTCTCGCTGACAAACAATCACTGCTAGACGAATTTGACAACACGTATAACAATGCATGTTTTTTGCAACTTTGAAATTGCTTGTTTCAGTGAAATTGCATCGGTCAAAAAACAAAAACTTCAGGAATGGTAATACTAGGTGTACTAGTGAGAGCTCAGCATAGGATAGATTTTAGATACTTCCAGAAATAAGTTGCAGATTGAGGAGTTTCAGTGTTGGATGACTTTAGAAGACTAATAAAAGTTGAAATTCTGCTTGGACTTCATCAAGATTTCTTGAGCCTAAAAAACATTAAAATTTAACTTTTTCTGTAGAATTTTTTCCAAAAAGGAGAACACAACGGAGAAAAACATCCGGCACAAAAACTGATCATTTCAATGAGTAGGATCTATGGTAAAATTTTCAGACTTCAATCATTCGAAATAGAAGAGCTAGACAATGTCTATTGGACTGGCTGACCCAACCCAGTCCTTTCCGCTTTGGATTTCTTTGCAAGGTTTTCAAAGTTATTTTTGAATCCATAGCTATGCTTATAGACACAATCCTATAAGCTGTGAAAGTTTCATTCCATTCCGATAAAGTCGATAAGATGTTTTTCTCTTTTTACGGCACTTCCCAACTAGACTTCTGCGTGACCACGATTTTTCAGTCACGTCACGTCACGGTCACGAGCTGCTTGGTCACGGTCACGTTCATAGTCACGAAGATTTTTCGAAACTAGTCACGATCACGTCACGGTCGCGAGCTAGCTGGTCACGGTCACGTTCATAGTCACGGAAATTTTTCGAAACTAGTCACGGTCACGTCACGGCCACGGAAATTTTGGATTACTAGCTGGATTTTTGTGCTACAAAATCAAGATTTAAATTGATTTCGTAGATTTTTCCTGTAACAAAACAAAGAAAACCCATAAATCAATTAAAATCTTGATTTTTTTTCACAAAAATCAGACTTTTAGTATCAAAATTTTCCACTGTTAAGTCACGGTCACGAGCCATTTGGTCACAGTCACGAGCCATTTGGTCACGGTCACGAGCTATTTAGTCACGGTCACGATCCCAGTCACGCCAATTTTTCGAAAATTAGTCACGGTCACGGTCACGAGACGTCGTGACCGTGACCGTGACCGTGACCATTTTGCAGAAGTCTATTCCCAACACATTAGAGATTTCGTTTTAGGTTCGTTTGATAGAGAATTTCTTATTCTAAAAAGTTGCTGTCTTTGCTTTTCAAATAACCTTTTTTGTTGTCGCCGTAAAAATTAAAAAATGAATACATGCTCAATTGTCTAACTGCGACGATCAGAAAACGAAAAATTTTTCATAAAAGTTTCGTTAAAATTTCAGATATGTTTCAAAGTTCTCCACAAAATTTTACATCTTTTGATATATGTTTCAAGATTGTAGAAGAAATATATGAGGAAAATCTGTGAAATAAAAAATATGAAAAAACCGGCAAAAACCTTTTTCTGGCAGAACTACATGATTGTTGCTTTTTAATTCGGCATCACCTAATGTTTCAATTCTTCAAGTTGTCAATCATACTATTCTGTTCAGAATTAAATTCTACATCCGGCCGCATAAGAACAAGCGCATTATAGATCAGGTTTCATTTTGGAAGACATGATTTTCCAGAATGTGTCTCAAAATATCACTAGATGTTGGTTTCAAGTCTTTTTCTTCTGAACAACAGCAGCAGAGAGACCGAAATTCTCTATCGATAGATACCGCCAGAAAATCAGAAATTGTAGTTAGACGCTTAAGTGGGTGCTCATCTTTTAAATTTTGCGCGAACAAAAAAAAATGATTTGAAAAACAAAGACAGTTGTTTTGTAGGGTAGGAAAATCTCTATCGAATGAGCCTAAAACAAAGCCTCTACTGTGTTAGAAAATACTCTAAAAAGAGGAAAAAATTATGCGCTATCCATTAGCAGTCTCAAACAATCATGGTCAAACAAAGATGCTCAACCGTGTTAATTCAAATAAAAACAAGTTCAATAATCTATCTTATAGAAATTATCACTTCTATAAACATGATAACTTCGATATAATATATACATCATTTTTCGAATAATCAATGCTTTTGATGATGAAAACAATTGATAATATTATATTTGAAAAACATTTACTTAAACAAGAAAAAAAAACCAAAGTTTGTTTTTCATTTGAATTTATTACATTACATAAGACATCTTATTAAATGTGGAATTCAAAATCAAAAAAAGAAGGAGAAGAATTATATTCATATTCAACGAAATCATCAATGACCGATAGTCAATTAATTTATAAAAATATTCATTGTTTTTCCTTTCTGTTTTATAATGAATTTGATTTTTTTCTAAACAGACGAACTATTCTTTTCTCGATTCTTGTATTATCTAAAATGGACCCTGGATTATTTTTATTTTTCTTTCTTTCCTCTTTCGTAAATCAAAACAAATGACCAATAAATTTATTTATCGGCAACGATTATTTACTGCCGATTATGTTAAATCGACAATCATTAACGATAAAACCTTGTAATCATAATGAATTAACACCAACAAAAATACAACATGATTATGTTTTTACTCGCTGGATGGGATCATGGGAACATCGATTCTCATTATGGTCAAATCGATCATATTCCGATGCATTACTTGCTTATATTGGTAAAATTTATGGACAACAAGCAAATATTTATCATTATTTTAATAGATTATGGAATGAAAGTTTATATAATACAATCGATGAACTTGATGTACTTAATATATTAATTGAAAGATTATCAAAAATACCTGGTAAAAATGTTTATTATTCAGTTTTTTTTTCTCTATTTTTTTTGTTAATATTATTGAATAGGTACAAAAGCATCATTACGTAAACGACAAGAAACATCAAGAATTGATAGTCGTTTTGATGAATTAAAATCAATCTTCGATAAAAATTATAATACAAGATTTAAAATTTCAACAAAATTTAATTCAAATGAATTAATTAATAAAGAATCAATTAATAGTTATTTTGATTTAGGTTGTGGAAATGGTTTAATAACAGCTCGTATTGGAAATTATTTTAATATAAATAAAGAATATATTTTTGGTGGTGATGTTTTTAATAGTAATAATCAACAAATAACATATGTATCAATTGATCAAAATCAATCAATTATTCATCTTAGTAAAAAAGACAAAATATTTTTTTATTATATTAATTATTTACAAAAACAAATTATTTTTTCTTTTTCTTTAGATGATCGATCTGTTAATTTAATAACATGTCTTGTTACACTTCATCATATAGAAAATATTGATAATATACTTAAAGAACTTGCACGTATTATACAACCAAATGGTTATCTTATAATACGTGAACATGATTGTAAATTAGAACGTTCAATATTAACAAAGTATTTACATTTTATTCATGCTATTATGATTATAGGACATATAGGAGAATTTAGTTATGATTATTTATTAAATAAAAATGAAAAATTAACATGGACAGAACAAAAAAAGAAAATTATTAAATATACAAAATCAATTCAATATAAAACACGTCAAGAATGGCAAAATAAATTAGAATTAGTTGGATTCGATTTATTAGCTATATTTGATTATGATTTAAATAAAACAACAAATCCTCAACGATTATTCTATGCATTGTATAAACGTAATGATAAGATAAATTAACAAGTGATCAAGAAAACGGTGAATAAAAAACAGTTATTTTTTTCTGGTTTTTAGCTTTTGTTTTTTTTCTTTTTTGTTTGTTCGTTTCTGATATTCGATGAAATAAAGTGAAAGGTTTTAGTAATATTCGACGATATTTATGACTTTTGAAGCAATAAGTAATGTCCTGCACGGGTATAACTTTTGCAACCGAATCCGGACAGCTATACTCGTTATCCGGACCGAAACTAATCGACATCCGGCAGATATTTTCACGGTACGATTTTCAAACTTTTATGTTATATGAAACAGTACACTACTTAGTTTCTTTCATAAACAGCAACAAAAAAAAGAGATCATATACAATTGCACAAAAAAGTAAATGATGTCGGATTCATTTGGTATCTTTCTGCTTTTTAAATCCGTTCAAGTTCACTAAGTCTACATTTGCTTGTTGCTAATGAGGCCAGAATAAAATCAATATCGCTTTCCATTTCTGTGACCTGTTCTCAGATAGATTAAATGGTTCGATTATAAATCTCATTAATTGCCGAGTCGGATCCGGACCGACATTTTTTTTTGCATACTCGGCGCCTGACTAAGTTACAGGAGACTAATAAAGAGTATTGTAATAATCTTAAATTGAAGTGAACAAGAATTGTAGATGAAAGTTCTTTCGTTCTCAATTGATTCAGATCAAAGATGGAAAATCTGCTCGTATATTGGAGCGTAGTACTATCAGGAAAAAGCGACCTGTCTGGAAAACTAAAGAAGGCTTATGTACTTTTAAGTCTTCGTATAATGTCAATACACAGGAAATGATTGATCTCCTACTTTTATTGACCAAGAAAATTTCTCATGCTTTTCTGCTTGTTTCAAGTTAAATCTGGTAGATTCTGCTTACCTCATTCAGACATTCTCATGTTTATAAGACTATTACACGAGAATATATTTAATAATGATATATTACTTTAACTTATTAAGACATGTTCAGTCAAAATTTATCTCTTGTCTATATCAAATAAAATTATTGTGAAACTTAAGACATGTGAAACGTTCTACATGAATCTTGTGTTGAGAGGATTTGTATTGAAATGTATCATGTTACATACTAAGAGCAAACTTGAGACATTTAATATGTAATCCAGCTTTACCCATCCTTGTGTTATAGACTGATACTGGCAATTATCTAGTTACTACAAAGCTTTTAGCCGCATATATTTTACTCAAAATTAACAACCTGAAGATCGAAATAAGCCTAAGAAAATATGACTTCATATTACGATTTTTGTAAGTCACGAAAGTTTTACTGAAATTTATCTGCTAAATTTGCTTTTTCAGTCAAATAATATTGTTGCATTTTTGATAAAATCTGTGTACACAATAACCAAGAATTGGACTTTTACAAATTTAGATGTTTGTCCATAGATATTGTATAAAACATGGATATTTTGAAAAAATACAAATCACTGAAAATTCTGCTTATTTTTCTATAAGTTAATCTAATTCATATGTTAACGAAGTTTCATAGTTAAATTCAAATCGTCCATGGAAATTTTGATGAAGCTTCTGTATTTTAGTCAAATCTTCACCATGAGTTCATATCCTCTTAGTTTTTTTTCTAGCCTACAGGCTTCATACTTATGAACAATTTACAATGAAAAAAAAAATCAGAAATGAAGTGAAAATTCAACGAAATGTATAATCATTATTGATCTTCATCAAAATATATCTATACAAACTAACAATTGATAGAAGACTTTTTGACATCATTTTCCAGTAAAGATAAACAACTTTTTTTTTCCTACGCACATTTTACTAATATATTGATGTTTAATGTTATCAACTATCAACTATAACTCTTTATCGCATCAGTGCCCTTGCAAAATTCTCTAATATGCATAATCATTTTACAACTGTCATAATTTTATTATTAAGATAATCTAATGAGTATTCGATATTTAACATAATTTTACTCGCCAAACTCTTTTCATTTGAATTAAAATGGAAAAAAAAATTGCTTAGGGATTCAATGAATCAATTTTATATAAAACTGCTAACATTCTATAAATAAACATTGTTTTTATTAGTGATAAATATAAAAATGTTAAATCAACTATGTTTTTTAGTTCTTTTATTTTCCTGTCTTTCAAAGTGTTGAATGAATAAAAATTTGTCTAATAAACAAGGAGAAAATTAATCAACCATTACATACAAACATATAATGATACTTTTCATAATTTAAAATAGCATAGAATGTTCTCAAAACTTCTACGGGTGCACGTCAATAAATGCATTAATTAATTCATATAATTAAGAATACAATACAAAATTCAACAAAAAAAAAACTACGAAAAAAATGAACGAGATCAAACATAACATCCAAATAATTCTAATATTCAAAAATGTATTTATTAGTAAAATCTTCGATTTAACTTATAATTAATTGATAATGTTTTATAAGTAAATTGAAATAAATACTAAAACACTTCTTTTTTTGTTTCTTTCAAAAAAAGAAAAGATTATCCATTCTGTCTAAAGTCCATATATGTATTAAAATTGTTTTTCCTTCATCAACAACATATCAATCAATGTTCTTTTTTTTTTCGTTTTATTAAATTACCGTATTATTTCTGTTTCTTTTTCTGAAGAACAAAACAACAACAAGAACAACAAAAAGCAAATTACAAGGAGCCAGCCCTTGATAAATATTAACAAAACAAAGAGAAAGATATATATATATATATATATTATTGTTTATTTTTATTTTCTTTATTTAAGGCTTAATTGGCATTTGTTGTAATAAAATATGTTCTTTTATTAATTGTGTTTCATTCCATATAAGTTGTTTTAATTTTGGTATTGGATAATCATCCATTTCCATTTCAACAGTAAATGGATGAAGAGCTATAGGTTCATCATTTGGATCATAATATTGTTTTAAATATGGATGTGCTAAAGCATCCGATACATCAATACGTTTACTTGGATTAAATGTTAATAAACGATCAAGTAAATCTAATGCATTACTATCAGCTTCAGGATATATTCGAGAAAATGGTTGTTTCGAACGAATTTTTAAACTAGCTATATAATTTCGTGCTTTTTCATTAATAATTGAAGCTAAATCATGTTCATCTGGTGAACCAACTACATTAAGAATTAAATTTAATTGATCAATATAATGTTTTCCTAAGATAGAAACAAAAAAGGATAGTCATAAAATCATCTTTTTGTTTTTGTTCTATTCAATAAATCAAACTAACCAGGAAATAATGGTTTTCCATTAAGCATTTCACCTAGAATACATCCAACTGACCATAAATCAATTGGTTTATTATAACCACGAGCATTCAACATTATTTCTGGTGCTCGATACCATCTTGTTGCTACCTATTGATATGAATTTTAGTTGTTTTTTTTTTTTCAAATTTAGTTATTAAAACAAAAAAAGAATCAATAAATTAAACTAAACTTACATATTCTGTTAATACACCACTATGATCAAACGATGGATCTGCAATACGTGCTAAACCAAAATCGCATATTTTTAAATCACAATTTGTATTTAATAATAAATTAGATGGTTTCAGATCTCGATGCAATACATTAGCTGAATGAATATATTTCAGACCACGTAATATTTGATAAAGAAAATAACAAACATGTTCTGAACCTTTACGAATAAAAAAAAACAAAAAAAAAATTTTTTTTCTTTTATTTGATATATTCATTTTTTTTTACTTAGTTTTTGATGTTTAATTAATTTATACATGTCACATTCCATTAATTGTTGTACTAAATAAATATCTTTCATTTGTTCAAATACATGTGAACGTATTATATCTTGTATATTAATTACATTTTCATGTTTAAATCTTGCTAAAATTTTTATTTCACGCAATGTTCGTTGACAAAAACATTGATGTTCAAATGGTGATAATTTTTTAATAGCTACACGTTGACATGTTTGATTATCATGACCTGATACAACCATACCATATGCACCTTCACCAATATATTTTAAATCAGTATAACGTGGTCCTACTTCAAATAACTGATCTTTAATTAATTCACATGTAGATATTTGATCATTTTTTATTCTTTCTGCTTCTTCTTCGTCTATAATTGTTGATGTTGGATCAGTAGAAGAAGAAGCAGAAGAAACATTAACACTCATTGAAAACCTATTAAAAAGAAAAAAAATGAAGACAACAAGATGATGAATAGAATCATAAAATGTTTTATTTTTATGATTAAAAATAAAAAAAAATCTTCTGCTCTCTCTCTCTCTCTCTCTTCTAACTCACCTTTTTTTTCTCGTTTACTATTGTTTAAAATTTTCTACGAAACAAACTTTTCTCCATATATCATGACGAATAACTAAAGTATATAAGAAATTAAGTTAGATCTTTTAACATCAGACAATATGTAATAAATGAATAGAAAAAAAAAGCAATAAAAACATTCCATCGTTTTAACCGTCTTTCATTTATTCCTACGCATTCCATTAGCATCATCTTTCTTAGGACGTACTCAATTGCATATCATTAAAAAAAAAATGACGAATCTGGTTGGCATATGAGTACACAGATGTTTATCTGCTAACTACTACCTTATGTTATATACCTTATGTGAATATCATGAACATAGATATATCACTCAGGTTCTTTTTTTTCCCTCTTGCTCATAATTAACTTTATATTTTTAGTAACTCATAAACAAGCATGCAAGAACTCATATGTGTATAATGGAGTGTCTATTCAAGTATATGCAACAACTAACATTGCTCCAAGAATAATCGAGCAACTATAGTGCGAACGAGAGAAGAAAAAAGAAAAAAAAGAAGAAAGAACTGACAGTAGAGATCAACAAAAAAATGACAATTGTTCCGTCCGTCTTAACCAACAAACACGCAGTTTTCCCTATTTTTTAGTTCGTTCTTTTAGTTCTTCTCGTTTTTTTTTCTTTTCAGCACTTCTCTTCTTTATATAGCATTAGTCAGGTCGTTCGAAAAATATTCCGAACTTGAACGCCCTATTTATCATTTTCTTACAAAAAAAAACCTCATAATAGCAATCAATTATTCATTGTGTCGATCTGTTGTGATTTTTCCACATGTATACATTTGTTCCAAAAGAAAGAAAATGAAATTGAGATTAAAAGAAAAAGTATATTAAGTATTTGTTTAGAGAAAAAAAAATGCTAAAATTACGTGATGAATATTAATATTAGATGACTTCTCGATGAACGACAAATACGAAGAATAATGATGATGATGATGATTGAAATACAATTTACATATGAATAAGATAAAAAGATCTCAAAAAAAAAACAAGAAATGAAACAAAAAACAAATATTCTACATGTACGGAATACTAATATTATTTTATGATTCATTATAGATAGTTCATATAATAATCAAAATATAAATTGAAATCAACATAGTTTGTTGAATTTATTATTTATTGCTTAAAGATATATATTATAACAGACAAAAAAAAAAAACTTAACAGAATAGTTTTTCTCTTCATTTCTCAATTTCTCAATTGTTGTAGATTTGTATTTATTTTTCGTGTAAATATACATATATGATTTTGATGTATAATAGAACTGATAGCAGTAAAAACACCTTGTTCATTTTCATGCGATAAAATGTACTTTGAATTTTAATCACTTGTGTCACTGATATTCATATTCTAACAGTAAATATATGAGTTTTTGTTGTTTCTTCTAAAGTCAAGCTAATGATTACAATATTTTATATATATATATATAAGGCATAATTATTAGCTATAACACGAATTAAATACGAACGATGAAGACTTTTTGAATTATGAAATCAATAACAATGACATGTCGAAGAACAATTGGAACGTGTCAGTACACTTAAATATTTAATTATTGTAATATGAATCTTTGAAGTGTAATATTTAATAAAGATGCCATATCAAATAAAACGGTTCTTCAATAAATCTAACGTGAGAACATCTTGAACTTTCAGACGCTACTGCTAAAGACTTACAGCTGTTTTGCTGAACTTTTTTTTTTTGGTAAAGAACAAGGTATTTTCGAGAACATCAAAATGAAGAATTTTATCCTGAAATGTTGTCTATAGATAGAGCAAATAATCATGTAAAAGTTATGAAAGTTTCAAAGAAAACAGACGTGTCTTTCTCGAGATATTCAGTTTTTAAAGCAAAAACAACCACTAATCACACAAGAACACAATAGTCAAATCCACTTGAAAGTTGAATATCTCAAGAATGATACGTTTGTTTTCTTTGAAATTTTCGCTACTTTTTAATAACTATTAGCTCTATCTATAGACAATATTTCAAAATAGAATTCTACATTTTCACATTTTCGAAAATGCCTTGCTTTTTTACTACAAAAATTCAGTAGGTCATAAGTTCGAATCTTTGTAGACTTTTTCTTAACCATCATATCAGGTCGAACAGCATCTGACAGGTCGAGATGCTTCTTCTTAAAATAACAATTATATCCATAATACCATTATATTAGACCCGAATAACATCTTGATTGACATGTACAGAAAGAAAACATGTCGATAGAGAATATGTCGAAAAGAAAAAATATCAAAAGAATGTGAGCATATAAATAGATTATTCGAATGTAATTAATTTTATTAATATATAAAAGATAGAATAAAAACAAAAAATATTAATAAATCATACATAACTAATATTATAGACAAATGAAAAAAAAAAATAATTGTATTAACAACTACAACACATGTTTATTATTGAAGCTTGTTTTGTTTTGTTTTGTTTTGCTACAACTAATGATAAATCATTTTCGTAAAATCCATTTCAATATTTGTACAGTATTTATTTAATGCGTACTCAGTCATATGTCATTGATCGATCTTGAGTATCAGCATGTGTGTCGAAATCGGGACTCTTACTCTTGAAAACATTTGATAAATTGACAAAAATTTGGGTGAGAATTTTGAATATGCTAATTGCATTGATTATTAAGGGACTTTTGTCGTTACAAATATCATTAGTACGATAGTAATGTCTGTTAGTATTCCAAATGCTCATGAAACATTTCCTATCTACTGATTTTATACATTTAGCAGCTAGCAAGAATATCATAGTGAACAACAATTAGAACGTAATTCAAAAGTCAATTATCGATTTACAATATTTTCTATAATTTTTTTTTTGCTAGTTTTATATGATTGACAGTTTTTCTTGTCGATGTTTTTTTAACCATCCCATCGATTAACTATCAAGATATCAGGAATCTTTTCGATATGTATATTCTATGAATATCACACTTCTTATTTACACATTTTTTGATTGAAGAAAAAAAAGCAATATCTCATTACTAAAAAGGGTTTTTTGATGACAAAAGAACGTATGCATATTTTTCATTATAAATGATTTACTATCATGTCATGACAAGAAAAGGAAAAACTATTTTCGTTTATGCTTTAACTGAATTAACAAATATTAAAATCTTGTTATCAACTGATAAGCTAGTCTTCTACTCAAGGCCTGGTTGTATTGAAAATGTATTCTCACGAGAGATGTATTCCAACTAATTCCGAGCTTGCCACTTCATCTTTCGGATGTAAGCAGGAAGTCTCATTGAGGTTGAGAGATTCATAAAAGCCTTCGTACTTATGATTACATATTCCTGAGATATACATCTAGTTAGCGTTCTGATAAAAACATTGATGTTTTCTTTTTTCATTTTCTCAAATTATCGTTCATATAATTTCCTTATAACTTAAAGCTAAGATTATGTCAAAAAATAAATAAATATTTAATTACACTAGAATATGACATTTCAAAAATGTAATAATAAAAAATCTAGTCTCTATTAGTCTTTTTAATATATCGATAAAACATAAATGCTGCAATACTTATGACAAAAAGGCAACTTAATAATATTAATAGTCTATGTTGAAATGATGAAAATGTATAACACCTTCTCACACTAGAATTTTTGCACTTCTCTTCATTGCATCCAAACAAATAATCAAATGAATAAGCAAACTTAATCAACATTCAAAAAATTCCCACGATCAATCTTCTTAATGTTATTAAAATGTACTTAAAATCAAAAGATGAGGTCGGAATCAATTGGAATATTTGATTTGTCAAAACTAACGCCATCTAGTCAAAATGAACAAAGAAACAAAATGAAAACAAAAAATATTTCAATCGACGGATAGATCGTATAAAATTCTAGTCGATCGATCATATGTTATTATTTCTTCTATAATCCATGTGGTAGAATTGTTGTTTTTTTATTCCGATATCTATATGACTGTTATTTTAGATGGACATCGATCCGACTATTTATATTCGTTTGAAAAATTTTAATCAAATACATTTATTATCTTATTGGAATCAACTTGATCATGAACAACGAGCCATACTTATTCAAGATATTAATAATATTGATCTTGATCATATTACACAAGCTTTTCAACATATTAAAGATCAATTAATTGAAAAATCTATTGATAATAATTTAATTGAGCATGAAAATAAAGAAACAATCGATCAAATTATGCAACCTATTCCTGAACATTTAACTGGTTCTATTGATGGAACAAGTAAAGAACAACTTGAATATTATCGTCGAAAAGGTTAATTGAAAGTTTCAAATGGAATGACATATATATATATATATATCAAAAATATGTTTATTATTTATAATAGGTTTAGAAGCTATTGCAGAAGGCTCTGTATGTGTATTATTACTTGCGGGAGGCCAAGGAACTCGGCTTGGTAGGCCTTTTTTTTCTATCATCTCTGAATTAATCATATTAATTATTTTATAGGTGTCAATAATCCCAAAGGAATGTACGATGTCGGTTTACCATCAAAAAAATCACTCTATCAAATACAAGCTGAACGTATTTGTCGACTTGAGCAATTAGCAAATGAAGAATGTAACACAACAAAAGCGTCAATTCCATGGTTTGTTCAAAACAAAGAAAAAGCCAACATGTCAAAAAAAAAATAAAAACATAAAAATCATATTTTCTAGGTTTATTATGACAAGTGAACATACACGAAATTTAACAGAAGATTATTTTTTTGAACATAATTATTTTGGTTTAAAATCTGAAAATATTATTCTTTTTGAACAACATACATTACCTGCATTAGATTTTCATGGGAAAATATTACTTGATGAAAAATATAAGCTAACAAAAGCAGCTGATGGTAATGGTGGTTTATATCGTGCATTAAAAACTCGTCATATTCTATCGGAAATGAAAAAACGTCAAATAAAATATATTCATATTTATTGCGTTGATAATATTCTTGTTCGTATTGCTGATCCTATTTTTCTAGGATTTTGTCTTGATAAAAAAACTGATTGTGCAGCAAAAGTAAAATTTTCTATTTTCATTTATATATATATATATATCTATTGAACATATTGTTTTTTTGTTTTCTTTAGGTAGTAAAAAAATCATTTCCTGATGAACCTGTTGGTGTTATATGTAAAATTCGAAATCATTTTCAAGTTGTTGAATATTCTGAAATACCTGAACAAGTAGCACAAAGAAAAAAAACTGATAATAGTGAAGAATTATTATTTAATGCTGGCAATATATGTAATCATTTTTTTACTTTTGATTTTCTTCAAGATATTTGCCAGTATGAAGATGAGAAAGAAAGGGAGAAAAAAACCATGAATTAATTATTTTTGTTTTTTTTTTCTTTTAAATTAGAAATCATGAAAATAAACTTTGTTATCATATAGCAAAAAAGAAAATTCCATCTATTGATAAAGATGGTAAACGTATGGATATTAATGGTATTAAATTAGAAAAATTTGTTTTTGATGTATTTTCTTATGCTAAGTAAGAAATAGAAATGAAGTTATTTTTTGTTTGAAAAAAAAAATCTTTTTTTTTGTATTTTATAAATAAGAAATTTTTTTATTTGGGAAGTACGTCGTGAAGATGAATTTTCACCATTAAAAAATGCTTCTGGTACAAAAGATACAGCAATTACATGTCGAAGAGATTTAATGTTACAACATGTTCGTTGGCTTCAAGCAGCTGGTGCTATTGTACCATTGAATACAGCAAAACAAATTATTTTGTAATAAAAATTTTTTTGTCTAGAAAAATAATATGATCGAATATTTTGTTTTTGTTTTCATAGATCGGATAAATTTCATGATAATGAAAATAATTCCTATATTGAAATTTCACCATTAATATCTTATGCTGGAGAAGTAAAGATTTTTCTAATATTAAAAATTAAATAGATATTATCATTTTTTATTTATAGAATCTTGAATTTATAAAAGGTCAAATACTCAAATTACCGTTGACGATTGAACTGAAATAATTTTTTTTTTACATTTTTTTCTAATTATTATTATTATTTTTTATCAATTAAAAGAAAAAAAACTAGAGTCCAATCGGACGGAAAAAATGAGATTTTTCTGGATTTAGGATTAATACAAACAATGATAGCCGGTGAACCATAGAACTAAATGTAAATGCAAGTTTCCTCGTTTAAATTCAGACAAAATCTTCCAATTAATTAATATAGAACTCGTTAATTCGTTATCACTTTTTAAATTTATAATTCGAGTATTCAATTTTGACAGTACACCTATGTCTTAAACACTTTCAGCATCACATTGTATCATGTAGCTATAAGATTTTCTACTCAGATCGAATATATGCACGCTCGTAAATAATGTAAAACGTCGATTTTTGGTATATTGAATCACTCTAAATTTTTTATGTATCTTTTCATATAATTCGAATGATTAGATTTTTTTTCAGGAAATTTTCGGAAACTAAATTAAGTCTCAGTATAAGAGATATAGAAGTTTTAGTCTTACCTTTGCACAACAATTCAAACATTCATATATCCTGTATATTTCCACTGCAATGCATCGTTACTTGTGCTTTGAGAAAGTATGGAGGATCTCGAAAGCAAAGTATTTTTTATATCAAAAAATAGAGAATTGTGTTCTCTAATTAGCTGATCTACTTTCAGATATCCGAATTTTAGTAGGTAATTGAAAATCTCTTGAAAATATTCTTCATAGTGATTTTGGAAGGAGTTTCTAGACAATGAAAATTTGTTTTTTTGAGTTACACTTCAGTTTTGAAGAACGATGCAGAATTTCGTTCTCTACAAGACTATGTGATTGGTAAATCACAATGCAAAACATGTTTTCGCCAAAATTCACAAAAAACCATTCAAGTTTTGAAAGATAGACGATTTCATCGATACTATGTTCGTTTTTTTTAGAAACCTATTGAATTTCTTAGTAGCTATGCCACACATTATTTTTAGTGTGTTTTTTGTTCTGCAGTAAGAATATTCAGTGTACCTCATCAATGTGATTGAAATGAACTATCATGCTGAAAGACTTGTTTTAGTATATTTGTTTATGCATAACAGTTTCTTGTATGTTATCAATAATCAACTGTAAATCTATATCCATGTAATAAAAATTCAAAGTTCATTTTTTGTATTACTGATATTATTATACTTAATTATATTCACGTTATAAGCATCTTCACTACATGTATATGTTAAGAAAATCCTATTAAAACGCGGAAGCGCTGAAAGCAAGCATGATAAATGGAAAGAAACTAATTTTGTTTTATGTTTTACCGATGAATAATATAATATATTAATAATATGGATATTCGTGATATAATAGGATTATGTGTTTTTTTTTTATGCGACAATTTCTAAGCAAATAATCTAATAGAAGTAAATACCTACATCCCAGACTATTTATAATAGGATTGGAGTGAAACTTTTTCTTTTCAATTGATACTTTCTATAAGAAAGATATTAGTGATTTTAAAAATTGAAATTTCTTTAATTCAGTTACATGTACAGAAATAATGAATGTATTAATAATTTATAATCTAGAACTACTTCGTTATATTGAATTATGCTGCTATGATAACAAACTAATTAAATATCAATTTGTATCCAATAGAGAACTTATAAAGTACAACAATGACGATATTTTAATGTGAAATTTTGCTCATAGATAGATCTCGTGACCATTAAATTGTTCTAAAAGTTTCGTTCTAATAGAATATATCCTTTTTGAAATATTAAATATTCAACAGAAAAGATCATTTGGCACAAGGAAAGATTTAAAAAAGCTGATTGTCTTCAACTTTCAATATTTCAAAAAAAATGAATTATTTTTTAGCTTGTAATTTTTAGATTATTCTAATAATTACAAGATTTAACTATGAATAAAGTTTCAGATTAAAATCTCGTCGTTCGAGTTTTTTATGATACTTTGTCAGAGGTTAAAAAATTCAGTGAAACAAAAATAACTTCGCGGAAGAAGGGTAAATGGAAATGACTCGTTCTACATTTTTCCTTCTCGAATTCCATTTATAGACTAAATGCTAACTCAATCAGCGATTCACATTTGTACAGCTTTCGTTATAAGATAATAATCAGCATATATCTGAATACCGTATAACGTGCTTCGTTGATTTTCGATCCACATTTTTGTCTTTTGGTCAAATGTCATAACACCCTACTAACAATTATCTCAGATGATTAATATTACACAAAAGCTGTTTATGTCAATATCAGTGATATTTGTATCATTTTGATGCAGATGTCTTTGAATACATAGATCAGAATTAAGATTTATTCTAATGATTAATTCAAATTGTATAACTTAATTTGAATATAACTCACAAGAAATTCGTATGATATTTTATTGATACAAACGGTATTGTGAATATATTAATCTCATTTTATAATTTTCATTGGGACATACATTTAACAAGTTTAGTAATATTATCTAATAGAAAACTAATTGATATTTTAAACCCTCTTCTAAAAATAGTAATCTAATATGTATCAGCTTCGATATGATTAAATAAAGAAAATTGTGACATGTTCTTTTGTTTTATTTTCCTAACAAGAGAAGCCATTCAACTAATAAATCGTTTTTAAATCGAGACTATATGCATTATGTAAATCCAAATGAGCTATGAACACCTTGGAAAGAGTTTGTGTTCTTAGCTTATTGTTGCGGAAATACTGTACTTTTACGGTATTTTTTTATAAATGAATCCTATGGTCTTTTCTTCAGAACATCAGAAAAAATTTGATTTGAAATTTTTCATAGTTCTTGAAGTTCAGATGCACTAAAAACTTTCATGCACACTCACCGTACGATTCAATGTAAAAATAATTCATTGGAAACTTTCCATGTAAAAACAACACCTATAGATCATATTAAATTATTCCAAAGTCCATTGAAACTGAATTTGAAATATTACACGATTAATCCATGAACATTATTAGACATAGGTCATCTATTCTTTTTACATATAATGATAGAAAAAGAGAGCAAGAGAGAGAGAGATTAAGTAACTAATAATAAAATATTTCAGTGCATCAGAAATGAATATAAAAGATAATTGAATTTGTAATTAATACTACGTATCGAATTAAATTACATCTTAATATTTAATTAGACGATAACCTCCAATATTCAATAAGTATCTTATATATAGATATATATATATATCGTATTTTAATTACGTTAGAAAATGTTTTCGTTGTAATTTCTATATACATATTTATATTTAATAAATCACAGATTAGATATCAAAACATCATTAAACTATTTTTTATATGAATTAATCAGGTCAATAAACAAAAAAACAAAATAATAATAATAATCTTTCAGCGAGATTTCTTTTTTTCAATTTTTGCTTTTTATTTGAATAATATATTTGAAATTATGAAATATCAATGTAAGAAGTCAATGAGTACTCATATAATCAATGTATCATCATACAAAGATAAATATAGTTCAGAAAATACTGCAAACAATATAGTTTATCAAAATCTTTTTATTCCGATAATTCTATAGTGTATATTGATTATAATCCAAGCGAGATCGAACAATACGATTAAATCTACATCAGATAAAAGGATTTACCTATGAAATAATCTTTCGTTCGATAGTAATCTCAAATGCTAAAAAAAAACATAATAACACATCGCAGCGCGTTGACAAACTACGTCAGAGATGTACTTTTCTGAAAGGCTCTCAGTGAAACCGTTAGAGATGCTGTGAACTGTGCATAATACGTTTCTTTTATATAACAACAAAATATATATGCATGAAAAATTATAAATTCTAATAGCGCATTTCTATGATCTTTTCACGTCAATATAACAACGTAACTTTATTTACGAATTTTCGTATAAATATTATAGATTAGAAGATTTATAACACTGTACTATAAAACTTAATACAAGATGAAAAAACTTTGTCTAAGTTTAGAAACATTTGGATTTATGACTTACAATATTAGATATGTATTGATAGATTAGAAGTTAACCTATAAAATAACAACATATATTTTAACGATATCATTCATCAGTAAAGAAAAAAAAACTATATATTCGATTATGTACAATAGTTCAAAATAGTAAAGACAAAACAACAAATGAATAAATATTTATCTTTATATTAGTCAGTAGATTAGTCACATTTATATTTTTAAATCTATTGCATGTTCATAAAGATCGAATGAATTTCCTTTTCTTTTTTTTAAGAATAGAAAATGACTGAACGTAAATAACATATAGAACGACTAATCATCTACTGAAATGACAAAGATATGATATGAAGAGATGCCTACATGTTTCCGTTTTTATACTTGCTTGAATGCTTTTTTAATACAATTGATTGTCATTTACAGCTTGACATAAATAGATATGTTGATGAAAACTTCAATAAGATATATAATTATGTATAGTTAAACATGGTCAAATATTGTCTGTGCATTTCCGTTATGATTTCCAAAGAATGAACTGAACTTTTTAAGAGAAAGAAAAATGTTGTTGTTTTTTTTTGTTTTTATATAGATTTGAATTAATCTAAAAATTTATCGAAGATTAAAAATTAGTTTTTTTTTTCACAATTTATTCATTTGTCGTATAAGTTCAGGCAGGAAATAATTTTCTCTTTATGTAACTGTAGGCGTTTTACTCGTCGGGTATTATTTCACTTATTACGATATAAGTCAATATTTAAAAGAGGAAAAAAACAGAGGATTTTATCCGAAAGAAACTAATGAATAATGTAAACTAAGACTACCAGATTTCTTTTTTTTTGTTTCAAAGAACAAGAAAAAAAAAAAAAGAAAAGTCAAATGATATAAAAGTCGTTGCTTTTTCACTATATATCATTATTCCATTAGCAGTTAGTATAAAATTTCTATAATAATTTGATATCTATTTTTTTCTTGTTCATATATTTCGCCTACAAGCTATGATGCACTAATGAGAGAGAGTCATGAGATATTTATAACTCCGCGCATATATATATATATGCATGTACTCTGTTCAGTATTGTGAAAGAGAGATACATCATCATAAGCCTTATTCATCCATTTGAAAAATTTTGTTCTTCTTTGTTATATTTTAGTTTGACTATGGATTCTATTCGTTTAACAATATTAATTATTGCTTTATTCTTCACCATTGGTACTATTGAAGGAAAACCAACTAGTTTATCATCGAATGATTTGAAAGATAATATTAAATATTTGTTAAATATTCTTGAAATTGAAAATGAATATATACGATTTTTATCATATATGAAACTCTATCCACCGGAAGATACAAAAATGAAAGTTCTTTACGATGATTTATTTTCTTTTGATTCATTTATATCTGATCTTACAAGTGTATATGAGAAATATTATACATTAGATGATGTTACTCAACTTATTAATTTTTATTCCAGTCCATTGGGCAAAAAGGTTAATAAAGTAACACAAGCATTAGATAAAGAAATGGAAGATTTAATGTTAAATAAAATCAGTGATTATATTTTTGCATTATCAGAAAATGGTGTCGACATTCGTCTACCACAAATTTCACAATAAAATAGATTTTAAAAAAATCGAACAGATTTTATGTCACTGCTCTTTTTTCCTTCTTGCATATTAAAAATAAATTTAAAGATACATATATATTCATAAAATGTTGTGACTGTGAAAATGACATTCTGTTTAAGTGTTTATTAAAAATAATAAATGATATCAAAAGAAAAAAAGGATTAATTAAAATAATCACAATAATATAAATATTGTTCAGAGAGAGAAAGATATGTCATTGATTTATGATAGAAATTTTTCTCGACTACTACTGAAATATGAAATCGTTATAATTAAACAGAAAAATTGCTTTTTGTTCTATTTAATATCTTAACAGAAAAGTTTTTGTAATCATACTAGAGTTGGCTTCAGAAGATATGCACTAAGCTTAATGAACTACTATCTGGCTTGATTTGCCATGATTTTAAATGACGTGTGATTCCGTACCAAAGCATAATAAAAGGTGAAAATTATATTGTTAGAAAATGTAATTAATCAAATATCACAAAAGACATGACTTTCACCTTTTATGCAAACAAGAAAAACAAAATATTTGTATGACTCAAACATTAAGGCCACTCCCCCTCAAAAATCGATCTCAGGTCAGAAACGTTCGAATGACATGAAATTTTCAGGATATGTTGGAGCTGGTGTGGGACGGCTTGGTAAAATTTTCAGCTCTATATCATGACGTTTGAGAGAGATATACACCAAACAAGGGTAAAAAATAGCTCTAGCGTATCTTCAAGAATTCTCTGTGGACTTTCATTCTATACATTTAAATTTTTTTTTTGTTTGAAAGCTTGTGTTTACGACTAGTGCTTCTCGTGACCTTTTTTTTTTAATTCTTACTTTTTAAGTGAAGAAAAGAGATGATAAGTTTAATGACTCAAAAACCTCTCAAAAAAATGATGCTGTTTCTATAGAAGTGTTTTCTTATATGATAATAAAAACGCTTATTTTAAAAAAAGGATCACGAGAGAAGCTAGCTCTAAACACGAGCTTTCAAACAGAGAAAAAAGTTATTGGCTACAATGGAGCTTCTTCGAGAATTCTTCGAGATACGATCGAAAATCTATTTTTTTCAAAAAATAGCTTATTTTTCGCATAGGGGACGACAGAAATCGTCAAAAATTTCTGAGAAAAACAAAGTGTTGAGTAAAAATTTTTGTCGTTTAGGAAAGATTAGATCACGGACTATCTTCTCCTGCATTTATCTTAATTTCGATCATTCTAACGAAAAGTGACTTTTTTTGAAGGGGAGGAGGGAGGGAGGTGGCCTTAATAATGTTATTTCGACTTCAAAGGAAAATAGAATATCTGAAGAACTCTTGACAATAAATAAGTTAAATAAAGTTGACTATACAACATCAATTATATATTTCATCATTCGGTTAGTCTCAACTTACAAAATTGAATTATATTAAAACTTACTTTCCAACTTCTACATAATTTATTCGTATACAAAACTCTAATGCTAAGCTGATAAGATTAATAACATGAATTGGAAAAAGATTGATTAGAGATCTTGTTGTATATTGATATCCATGATTTCTAGAACTGTATACATTCAATTCAAATTGCTTAACAATTTCGTTTTATTGTTTTTTGTATTTTTTTGGTTTGCATCTTTATTTATTTTATGAAGATAAGACAAAGAGAAAAGTGGAAAAGTAATAAATTTAAAAATACTTCAACTACTACATCAACTGATACAATAGTATTATCTAATGAATATAATAAAAAGAAAAAATATCGTTCATTAATTTCATTTTTGTTTTGATAAACAAGAAATATCTAATATAAATTCGAATAGAAGATAATCAATATTTTAAATAAATTCATCTATTGATATTGATCGAGTTCAAAAGAAACAAGATCTAATATTAATTTATTCACAAGGACAAACAACAAATATCTAATCAATTACAAACAATAATTTCATGAAATGATTGTTATCATTCAATCGATCATAATAGAAAAATTAAAATTGAAGATAATTTAAATGTTAATGAATCATTCATATGAAATTTTACAATTTTTTTTTGATAAGACAATTAATGAAAATAATTCATGTTTTGATTTTTCATTATCTCATATAATTATAATAATATATTCTTGACATTTGTCTTATTATATTATTGACAGTTATTTTTAAAAAATTGTAAAGGAAGTTTTTCTTTCTTTTCTTTTTCATAGTACATTAAACTCAACAAATTTTCTGTCCTTGTCGTTTTTTACATATGTGTTATGTAATTGTAATCATTCTGCTTTATTGATTCAGATACAAGTAGATATTTAGAAGTACACACAAGCACTTGATAATATGTTAAGTAGCGTTGAATACTTTAACAATAATGTTTAATTTTCACTTGACAGCAAAAAAAAAAAATTAATTATTGATTGTTTTTTTTTTGTATTCTTTAATAAGTCGAAAGCGTAACATAATTACATTATCATTCTTAGGTATACAAAATATTTTATGTTCTTTTTTTTTTTGTTATTCATGTAAAACTCTTGATTGCATTTCATCTCTTTTTCTTTTCTATTGATCTGTCTTCTTTGATTACACATTTGACATTCTTATAGAATTTAGTCTTTCAATATCTAGGCAATTATTGATGGTGCATACAATGCACATATGTATGACACATACAACCTAATAAGAATGATATACAATAATGATCTTACATAATATCGAACATTGACAGATTTTCATCTCTTATATGGATTATCATTGTTCTTTTTCTATATATATATATATACAACATATAAAAATTTTTAATCAATTACTTTTTTTTTCAAAAATGTCCCTGAACAATTGATTAAACGAAAAAAAAACCAAAAGTGAGATTTGCCTGACCTTGTGGAATAGAACAATATCAATGAATAATAATATTTTTTCTGAAAACAACAAAAGAAAAAAGATCAATAAATGGTTTAGTGTAATACGATATTAGCTGGAATTACTGAAAGAAACAATTATTTTGTCGTCAATGAACGACGAAAGAGAGCAAAGATCAATTTATATATCGAAGTAAGAGAAAATTAATTAAAGGTGCTTTATTTTAGTAGTATGCTAGAAGCTAATTAATATTGTTTTCACATTCATCATGTGTTTTGTTGTGTCCTTCTTTGTGAAAGTAGAAGAGAGAGGGGAAGCAAAAGAAGAAGAAGAAGAGAAAAGAGCAGTAGGAAAGAAAAAAATGTTCAACATTTTTTTTATTTTCGTTTTTATTATCGATATGAATATAGATTTAAGATTCATCTTATCTTTTAAGTATTTTATTATTGTATACAAAATTTAGGTGAGATGAAAGAAAAAACAAATCATTGATTATTTGAATACTTTTCTCCCGACTGTAAAAATCATTTCCGTTATATTTTAGTTCATCGTAATCCGTTTGGAAAAGAAGAGAAAAAAAAAAGGTTAGAGAAGAAACTATTAATTGCATCTATTGTTATTTCAAGACCTTCGTTCATATTAAGAAAGTATAAGAAAAAACTGTCAATATGATAGTGATGATGAGGACAATGTTGATGTCTGGTCAAATAGAAAAATGAGTATGTATGCATGCGTGAATAAATGTAATTCAATTTTCTCGGGTAAATATAATGAAAAAAAAATGAGGAAAAGAAAGTTGGGCGAGAATAATGAAATCGGCAACTTGAACCTTATGGGAACGACTATAAGCATCTACATATTAGCATAGTATCGTACTTGCAAAACCCAAGGACATATATCTGTAGCATCATCTTGACATTTGAAGGCCTAGTACAAGACATGATGAAGAGATTGATAGTATTATAGATACAAAATATGGTTCAATTAGTTTTTATCTTCTAATATCAACTTTGATTCCAAGTCTTTGTTTGTTTTTTATTTTGAAAAAACTTGATGTCTTTATTAGAATTTATGTCATCTCCAGTAGGTTATCCTAAGGGGCTCTTCCTCCTTTTCGGATATTAAAATTAATATTTTTTGTTATTTTTGGTTTTCTTCATCACTTCTATAGCTTCGAAATGTTCTCTGTCAAATGGCATATAAATGAAGGCTCTTTGTTGTTAGTTACTATTTTGATTACATCCAACTCTCGGAATCCCTAGCAGAAAAACTCGTACTGCAACTATGCTTTGTATGCAAAATTCTTCTAATGATAGTGACTTTAATTCAAGGAAGAACAAAGTGATTTCTAGCATAGAAATCACTCTAGATCATAGAAAATCTCTACATAATAAGATTAAAAGAGAAGTCCTGATTTCACGTGATTTCCCTTCATTTCTATGCATTTCCGATGATTCTTATTGATTCACAGTGAACAGGTAAATACTGATTTTCGCTGATAGAAATCCAAGAAATCAGATTATTCATTCTTACTTTAGTTGAAAAAAAGAGTCATGATAAATAGAAAAAAATTTGTTTTTCATTTTTCTCAAAAATAAAAAGCGCAGAATCGCCTCCGTTTTTTCCACTTCTGCAATTTTTTTTATAGCTACTGAACACCACTGTTTGGGGTGCCGACTTCTTTTGTATTAAAAAATATTGCAACGTTGATTTTTGAACATACATTCAGTATTTTGATGTTTTCATTCGAACGGAAAGAGATAAAAAGAAACAAAAAAAACTCGTAGGCACTTCAAACAGTATCTATTATCCGATCCAAAATAAAAGGCAAATTACCATTTTTCGAATGACTTTTGATAGGAATAAGATAGAGAGCTACAGTTTTCACCATTTGAAAGAGCAATGTCCGGGCCATCGATCGATATAGAACTCATTAAGATGAGAGATGCTTTTTTTTTATAGATTCTTTTGGATCAATACTGTTTTTGTTGAATATTTTCATCAATTTTCACAATAATCTCAACTCAAATTATGTCAAAATGTAGCTCAAATCATCTTTATTTTCTCTATAAAATTAACATTCGTGTTTTTAAAATCCGCTTAGAATAAGAGGTTCAGAGATAATGAAATATGTGATAATTTTATAACGCAAAAAAAAGGGGTGGTTTGAGCTATATTTTGACATAATTTGAGTTGAGATCATAGTGAAAGTTGATGAAAATACTCAAATAAAAAAGTATTGATCCAAAGGTACCTACAATAAAAAAAAGCATCTTTCGTCTTAATGCGTTCCGTACCGATCGATGGCTCGGACATTGCTCTTTCAAATGGTGAAAACCGCAGCTCACTATCTTGTTCCTATCAAATGTCATTCGAAAAATGGTAATCTACCTTTTATTTTGGTTCGGATAATAGTATCTGTAAAAAACAAAACTTCAGCTCTGTCTGACCTATTACAACTGAGAAAGCGAAGTGGTTTTTAGCGTTTTGTGACCCAAACGTGTCCTAGAAGGATATATTTGAAGTGTATGACAAGTTTTGCTCTACTTGTCGAGATGTATCTACCCTGAAAGTTTCATATATTTCTGATGAGTTGTTCTTCAGAAACCTCGGAAAGAAATTTCCTTAAAAAATCGTTTCTATGGTCTTTTGTAGTAATTGAAAATTAAGTTCTTGTGTAATTTTCTTTTTTAGATAAAATGAATGAAAATCAAGACGTTCCAGATACAATTTTTAGTAGTAGTCCATTACGTAAAATGGTTCATTTTGATGAAACAACTTCAATTCCACCACAAATAGCAACATCAACTAGTCTATTAACATCTTCATCAACAAGTTCATTACCATTTCCAATAATATCTGAAAAAGCAGGTGTACGTTTTAAATTTTTTTGTCTTCTATTTAGTCTTTTTATTGGATTGATTATTGGTTTTATTTTTACTATTTTCTTTATTATTAATGCAAAATATATACCTAAATATAATTTTTTCTCACATGAATTATTTTCGAAATTATCTGAACAAAATTCATTAAATAATAAATATCAATTATTTGAACATTTTGATTCATTATGGATTAATCAATTAGATTTTAATAGTGATATTTGTAATGATTTTTATGGTTTTGTTTGTCGAAAATGGTTATCAAATCATCCATTATCATCATTTGAATTTAAACGAAGTTGGTTAACTGAAAGATCAAATAATATTCGAGAAAATTTTGCAGAAATATTAACTAATTTAAGTGAAATTGAAGCTTATAATTATCAAATGAAAATTAATAACAATCAAATTCAAGAACTCATCAACGATACACATATTGAAGATTTTGATGAATTAACATCAGAAAAAAATGAGTAAGTTCAAATGTATTTCTTAAGATGTTTGATGAAACTAGTTGACTATTTATAGGTGCTTGAGATTTAAATTTTTAAATGTCCTATTGATTTATATAAGATTTATAATACGGATAATGATCGTTATTATAGATTTATTATACACTTTACTAGTTAGAATCACTGACAAATTGAAATGTTTCTTTCTTTGTTTTTGTATCTTGTAGACTTGAACAATTCTATTCTTTTCATGATGAATATGACAATATAAATCATAAATTAGTTAAACGTCAATCAACTTTAAATTCAAATGATTTATCTAAATCTATATCTAATATGTTACTTTATTATCATCAATGTATTCATACATCTGAATCTATTCTTATTGAAAAATTACAACGATTAGCATATGATCGTTTTTGGTTTACAAATAATTATGAAATTATTTCTACAACAAATCATTTACATTTTCTATTTGAACAAATGATTGAACATCCATTAATGCATATATGGAATATAAATACAATAAATCTTGGTACACAAATTATAATTCATATTCAACGAAAAATTCATGATCAACAAAAATTTCTTTTATTACATCAAATAGAACAAGCAAGTATATTTGAACATTATGTACAAACAAATCATATTGATTTATGTTATCAATCAACTCGTGTTGGTTCTTTAGCAAATACATTAAAAGAATATAATGAATTATTAATATCAACATTAATATCATCAAATTCTTCAATAAATGATGATTTATATTATTTAATATCAAATAAAAATTCTTTACCAATTATTTATTCATCTGTAAGATGTCCAAATGATTTACGAGATTTAATTCAATATATGTTAGATAAAAATATGATTCAATCATTAAATAATACAAATATTTATAATTTATTTTTAAATTTTACTCATGATCTTGAACAATATTTATTAAATATACCAATATTTCGTAGTACAATATTATATCAATGTCAATTATTTCTTAATTATTATATTCGTTTTCGATCATTAAATGATACAAAATTAGAAAAATGGTTTGATTATATATCATCATCAATAATACATTTAATTCTTCATTCATGGCCAGGTGATGCATCATATATATGTTTATATTCAACAATAGTTCGTCATAATCAATTTGAAATAATTTCATATTGGAATACATTTATTCAATATACAAAAAAACAAATAAAAGATATTTCATCACCAATTATAACTGTTGAAATACGATTAGTAGATTTTTTTCAACTTGATTCAATATTTCGATTTTTATTTGCTGATCATTTTGCACATTATTGTAATTTAATGGTTTATAAATATGGACCTAAATTATTACCATTTGTTAGTATTTTTCATGAAGATATACAAATTAATTTAAAAAATCTTTGGAAACAAACTTTACAAAACAATTCAAAAGAACAATATAGTAAGATAAATCATTTTGTTTTTTGTCGCATTTCTATTTCCATTCTACTCTTATTCTATCATAAATATAAAATCATTTATTTATTTTTATGAAAAAGAAAAAGATTAAGCAAGTTATACATTAATCCTCAACAATCATAGAATCGATTGATTTTTAATCATGCTTCTCCGTCAAATGGATTCAATATTAAGGGCTCGACTAGCTATAACATTCAAAATTTAGATCACATAACAAGATCTGTTGAAACAATTCTTCTACTAGGAATTGATCTGTTTTGGGAGCGGCATTTCAGTAATAGAGAGTACGTTGGGTTGATCTCGAACATGGACCCGATGTGCTCTAGTAATCTGAGAAATGTGTAGGCTGCGCTGGTCAACAAAACCGAGAAAGTATCTCGTATCTTCGGGACGACTATCCAATAAAATTTCATTGAGAGCATCGAGTATGATTCGACTACGTCCAGGTTCGGAAAATTTTAGACTCGACGAACTGTACCTATAAGTGCCATCTCCAAAACAGACAAAAAGTGTTTTTTGTAGCTGGAAGGAACTTTCTCAAACATAGAACAAAAACTGTTTGACTAGATCAGTTTTGATCAGAGAATGTTTTCAACAGTAAAAGTTATATTCATTCATGTGAAAAAAAAATCGTCAAAATTCCTTCGAGAATTTCGCATGGAGAAAAAACTCTGAAATAAATCACCCAATGAAATAGTCAAAACTTCTGACAAAAATTGTATAAAATAGAGTTTTCCAGGTCTACAATGCGGAAAATTTCTCTCTGATATGTCTAATTTCATTCATAATTAATCGAATATTTTCTTTGTTTGTTTTTTTTTTGTCTATTAAAGATATTCATGCATTACTTTTACCATCAAATCGTATACCAAATGATTGTCTAACTTTACTTGAATATTATTATCCATATACATTATCATCATTTTATGAAAAATATATGTCAAATAAAATTGAACAACTTTATTTAATAACTAATGAACTTCGTAATCTTCTTATAAATAATTCTGATAATGATTTTGTATTATCTATAAAATTTCATATAAAACCTGAATATCTTAAATTATATCATGAAATTTCATCAATAAAATTTCATATTCCATATGAATATTATTTAATTGAAGATAATTATTTATCAACAGCATGGAATATAATTGAAAATTTTCATGAAGAATTAATTCAACCAATTCATACGTTTTTTGAAATCAATGGTTATCATACAATTGAACAAGGTATTTTTTTACAACCAACAGTAGCTGAACTTTATTCAAATGAAACAACACGTTTAGCTGCACTTTTACTTATTGCACATGAACTTGGTCATGCCTTATGTCCATGTGGAATAAATCAAACTGAACGTGAATATTTTGCTGATTTAATATCACTTCATTTAATTATGAATTATAATGAACAACAATTAAATAGAACATTAACATCGAATGATATAAAAAATTTTTTTATTACATATGTTCAATCCGAATGTATACATATTAATCATGATATGATTTCATTAATGAATAAACAAAAAAATTTTATTGAATTATATATTAACCAAATATTACAAGAAAATGAACAATTCCAAACCGTATTTAATTGTTCATTAAATAAATATAGACAAACAAAAAAAATTAATAATTTATTACTTGAATTATGTGCAACATGTAGAAATAAAAAACATTAATCGTTATTATTTTTTCCCTAATAATACAATGATATTATTTGAAAAGAAAAAATAACAATAAAAAATTGATAAAATCAGTTCAATTTTGAACAGTCAACTATTGAATGAAAAAAAAAACATCTATGTATATTTGTCTAAAGAAATTGTATTTTGCTTTATAAGTTCTTTTTCTTTGGGAGTAAATGTATGATAGGTTATAAATTTTATAAAAGTCTTTACTGCACCTCAACAATTTGCAAAAATAATCTACCACTTTGTAGAGAGTTATTTTCTAATATACTCTTCTGGCATGTCTGGAATAAGTTCCATTTTAGATTTTTTCCTTACAAATAAAAATTTTTTGAGTCTTTTTTTTCTATTTAAATACGCGAAAAATAATCAAATATTTTATCAAGAAACTTTCGTACACTAAGTCAATGACAGTATTGTAATTGCAAATTTTTAGCATAGAATAATTAGATAATTTCTTCACAATTATTAAACAATTTGCTAAGATCGAATTTCAACATGATTCTATATAATAAGTGTTGAATAATATAACTTCTAAACTACGCTATGGTGATGATCGATTTATTTTCCATTATTTAGATCTAAATATGGACAAGATGCTTTCGGAACTGAGATTAGGACAAACACTTTTTCAATATGAGCGATATTTTTTACGATCGAATTAAACTTATGTCGAATGTCGTATTGTTACGACTTATGTGTTCTAAATATATATATGGGACAGATGATTCCGGTTCCGCAAAAAAGATTTACCCCACTCATATTTATTTAGATCTATTTATAGGATGTTTTATAAGTTCTGCATCTCGACAAAAATTAATTTATATGCAGACAAGGAATGATCTCTAACTGAATTTATCTATAAAAGGATTTGAATCATATAATATTGAATAACATCTTTCTTTGTAAGAATAGTGATATAAATAGAAAAAGTACAATGTTCAATTTTTTGTATTAAAAAAGAAAGAAAAATACAATATTTGATTACACGAAAAATGTCAATTAACTATCATGTAATCTACTACTTATTATTACTTCACCAAATCATTTAGAAATTTTATCAATTATTCTTTCGCGATCATTACAGAATGATATTCCTTCGTTCTGTATTCAATTGTATAAAACTTGAAAATTGTCTTAGTATTTTTTTTCTTTAAAATAAAAGAAAGATATGAATACTATAAAATGAAAATTTTTCATTCTATAGAATATTTTGTGTCAGTGACTCATGACAAGTCTCAAACAAATTTACCATACTAGAAAATGCCATTTGATGAAATGTCAACACAAATACTTAAATCTCATATAGATGCATTTAGTTCGAGATCATTTCCTGTCTGTATATAAATTAATTTTTCGTTGAGATTCAGAATTTATGAAACATCTTATATGCTTAGAAAAGTTAGCAGTGATAATACACCGGTCATTATTGTAGATTTAAATTCAATATTAATATAGATTTTACAATTATTACTCATTTTATCTGTTTCATAAGTTATAATTTAGTTATTCCAATCATTTTTTTTCGTTCTATTGTGATCAATTATTTCAATAAATATTTTCTAATTGTACAAATCGAAAATTTATTGAGTAATAAAAAAAAAGTAAATATTTATTTACAAATAATAATTATTTTTTAAAAACAAAATCAGAAATTAAAATTGACAACAATAACTAATATTAGGTTTTGTGGATGAAGTTTGTTGTGTAATTTCAATTACTTCAGAAAGTCTTCTTCTTATACCTTTCATAGTATCAATATTTTTCATTATCTAGAAATATTAATAAAAAAAAAGTCTTGAAAAAAGAATAAAAGCTTTTTTTTTCTTACTTCTTTAACAAGAAATAAAATTGATTCTTCAATATTAATATTTTCTCTTGCAGATGTTTCATACCAATGAATAAATTTATGTTTACGACAGAATTCTGTCATATGTGTTTCACTTACTACAATTCCATCTTTGACTAGATCACACTAAAATATTTTTAAAAAAAAAAATTTCATTCAATTTATCTAATGTCACAGAAAAAAAGAAGAAATTTCTACTTTATTTCCAATTAGTAAACATGACACTTGATTATTATTATCAATATTAACTTTGTTATCAAAATCAATTTTCCATTTCACTGCACCATTTATTAACGTCGTTGATTTTGATACATCAAATACAATTAAACATCCAGCTGCATCTTTATAAAAAAGATGTGTCATAGTTCCAAATCGTTCATCACCAGCAATATCCTATTAAAATAATATTCATTTTGAAAACAAAAAAAAAACAAAAACTTTTTACAAAACCCATATATGAAGATTAACAATAATATGATCATTATATTGAATTTTTTTAACAGCTAAATCCGTACTAATCTAGAATATTTTATTGATTAATTAATATTCTTATTAAAACAAAAACAAAAAAAAAATAACATACTGTACTATGATAAATTCCTGCAAAAGTATTATTAACATAACGTTGTATAAATGCTGTTTTACCAGTTGCTCTTTCACCAATAACTATAATTTTTAATGTATATTCTTGTTTTTGTTCTTCAATTGATATTGTTCTATTTCGAGATATAGACATTGAAGGAGAAGTTCTTGTCAATAAATTTCTATGTTGAATAATCTATAAAACTCAAATTAAAAAAAAATGCTAATATATCAATCTTCAATATATCTATACTTCATTAATTAAAGTTTGAATCGATTGTTCAATATTAATATTATTCTTATTTGATATTTTATAATAACCACAAAAATCATTTATTTGACAATAATTATTCATAATAGGATTTAATATTTGATCATCTTCTAAATCACACTAGAAAAGAAAAATATATTTAGAAAAACAAAAGAAAATAATACATTCTTTATTAAACAAACTTTATTTGCGAATAATAAACATGGTAAATTATCTGTTTGATTTACATTATCAATAGAATTTTTCCAATTTATTATATTATCATATGTTTCTCTACGAGTTATATCAAACATAATAATATATCCATCGATATTATTAAAATATGTTTTTAGTTTTGTTTTATCACATTGTGAACCAGATATATTCTAAATAGAATTATTTTTATTAAAAAAAAATGAAAATTTTCCCTTTTTTTTTACAAAAATTTCTATTGGAATTTCAGTATATTCATCAATTTTTATTTTGGTTGAAATAATATCATATTCTTTCTATAATAAATATAATTATATTGAATAGGAACTTTGATGAGATAATGAAAAAAAAACATGACTTACATTTGTTCGAGTGTCATTTGGGAATATATTATGGCTTGTATTTAATATTTCAGTATTTTATTATGAATGTTCAGTAAATTTTTTATCACATGTTCAGTAATTCTTGTTCAGTAAAAAATTATTTTTTGCTCAGTAAAACATTCAAGAAGTTCAGTAGATAATTCGAAAAGTTCAGTATTTAATTTATTTTTGTTCAGTTTTTAATAATTTATTTTTGTTTAGTTTTTAATAATTTATTTTTGTTCAGTTTTTAATAATTTATTTCAGTAAAAAAAATGTAATTAGAACTAACAGAAATTTATTGAACCAACAACGCCTTTTTGGATTTTGTTGGTCTACCACGACGTCTTTTTTCACCAATTGAAATATTTTTAGCAGCAGGTGGTGGTTTGCAATAGTTTAATCGAATTGCCAAACCGACAACATGTTTACACATAAACTTTTTGAAAAATGCTGGACAATTGCACACACTATCCAACCATTTTTATTTATCTTTTGGTAATGTAACACACCAAATATTGAATGCTTTATTTTTATATTGATCAAAAGAGTACCATTTCATTTTCTTCATTACATCAATATCGACGTTTGTAATTTTATACTGATAGTTTGATTTCTTTACTGAAAATTTGTATATAATACTGAACAAATTTTACTGAACATTTACAAAAAAATACTGAGCATTTAATTTGTCGCCTTATACATATATTCTGAAATCTTTAATCTGAAGAATGAAAAGATGAAGACTTCTTTGCCAAGATTTAAGGATTTTGTATCTATCTCATGGTTTAGCTGTTTCGGTGTTTCTTTACTCATGGCTTCGGTTCCAAAAAATTTTAAACACTCAGTTCCCGGTTTCGATTTTTCCTGGGTTGTCGAACTTAATCTTTCTGACAGCAGTACCTACACATACACCCACAATTTATTAATTTACCGAGCAAATATGAGTTACTGAACAAATATGATAGTTACTGAACAAATATGATAGTTACTGAAGACTAATTTTTATACTGAACAAAAAGTAACTTTTTACTGAGCAATAAATTATACTGAGCATTTAGAAAATAATACTGAACATTTACAAAAAAATACTGAGCATTTAATTTGTCGCCATATATTATGTGTAAGTCTTCTGACATAACAATGTTTACCTCTTGCACTATCACCAACTAAAACAATTTTAAGTTGATCAATTGAACAAGATGATGATGCAGCCATGGTCACATGAAAATTTCGGATTTATTTTTTTTTTAAATGAAATAAGAAAAACCAGTGTATTTATGCATGAAGATAGATAAGAATAGAAGACGTTGCATGTGAGAAATGAGTCATAATTATGAGTCAAATAGCTCTTGTGTCTGTCAAATTTATATTGTATTATCTTTGAAAATATATTAATAGTCTATATTAAAATAAGATCAAGATTTATGCAAGATATATTCGTATTTACATAGAGATTAGAAATAACATTTAAAACTGAGAGAATAGGTCATGACGAACAATTCTTATGTTTGGTTTTTTTTGCAGAATATTTTTATATTTAAATGTTCAAAGAAAAACCATTGTTTAGGGTCAAAGCAAAATATACTTCGATATTTTTTTGAATATCTTGAGAGCGAAATTAGCTAGAGACCTGCAATTTTGCCATTCGAAAGCGAGATGTGAAGAAAGTGAAACTTTGCTAAATTATCTGGACTGTGTATTGGTCAAGCAGGTGAGTTTTTGCTGTAGATTCTGACCAGAAATTTTCCAATACAGTAACCAGTGATCTATTAATTGATTTCAAGGTTTTCAATAAAACACTTATAATCCCTTAATGAAATAAGCCAGAAGAGTCGACCTTGCGTTGATCCACAGAGAAACGTCTTCACTATTGTTTCTCTAAACTGGAATTGATTTTTAGTTGAGAAAACTTCTGGTCAAAGTCTACAGCAAAAACTCACTCGCTTGACCAATACATAGTCCAGACAATTCAACAGAGTATTACTTTCCTTATATTTCTCTTTCGAATGATAAAAAACCGCAGGTTTATACTCCATGTGATCAAAAATCCTATCAGTTTTGACGATTATAATCGTGATTCTTCAACAAACTTAAACAGTACATACTCAAATACAATATGTCGTACTTTGCGACACATTGAAGTATGACACGAAGTATTCGTTGCGACATATTTTATTTTAGTGTGTAAGTATTATTATATAAAATAAATATTTTCTTTCTTCTATTTATACTATTTGGTCATTTCAATAAACAGTTAGTACGTATCATTTTATTCAAAAAAAGCTTCTGTTTTATTTAGATCATCTGATCGTCAAACTTAACATCCAAGCGAACAAAACTCGACGATAGACCACTGTATATCGATCGGTATTATGTATGCTATAGTGGCGAGTTTTTTTTTGAATGGTATATCATGGTGTATTGTATCAAAACGAATGTATATTTTCATAGGTCTACGAGAAATTAATTTTATCCCGTTTTACTTTTCGCTTAGTAGCTATACTGACTTACACACATTGTATTCCCTATAGTTCCTTTACTCTCTTTAGTCCCTGTATTTATTTTACTACCTTTAGTCCTTTTACTTCTTTACTTCTTTTACTACCTCTAGTCCCTTTACTTCCTTTAGTCCCTTTCCTCCCTTTAATCCTTTTACTTCCTTTACTCTCTTTAATTCCTTTACTTCCTTTAATCCCTTTACTCCATTTAGTTCTTTTCAAAGAAACTAAGTGGAGTAAAGGGAGTAAAGGGGTAGAGGGACTAAAGCAAGTGAAGGGAGTAAAGGAACTAAAGGAACTAAAGAGAGTAAAGGAACTAAAAAGAGTAAAGGAACTAAAGGAACTAAAACGATTAAAGGGAGTAAAAGGAATTTAGGCTTCGGGCGAAAAGTAAAACGGGATAAAAATAATTTTTTGTGGGCCTCCCTATATTTTTGAAGTTTGTTAAAACTGACAGAAGTGAATCGATTTCGATGCAGTGCAGTTATTGTTGATGCATGTGAACTGCCTGTACTAGCTCTAATCAGAGCTGAAGAATCTACCGTAAAAATTAAAAATTTCTCCGACCGGTAAAAACTTTCTGAAAAATTTCCCCAGCTCAAAAAGTCAGAAATCCTGATTTATTCCAGCATATTCATACGTAGCAAACAGATGTCCAAGCGAGCTATTTCACTAAAAATATATCCCTTGTTCTCTGCTCGAAAACATTTTAACAATTCTATGTCGAATGAATGTTGTGATCTGAAAAGCACGACGGAGATCCAGACAAAAAGCGATAGGCACAGGATAGAAAAAGAAAGACGAGTAGAGCGAACGAATATAAAGAAAGAAAAAAAAACAAAGAAGTAAGAGGGTCATTATAAATGAATAGTCAAAGGAAGAGCAAGGCAAATTAGAGACTGCGTTTAATGAGTTTGTGACTTTTCCCTGCCGGAAAAATCGTCTTTCGCAAAATTTTCCGATACTTGACAATTTCCCAAAAATTTCCCCAGACGCGAAAAATTTCCCCAACCGCGTGGTGACGCACACGGGTAGATTCTGCATCTATGGCTCTAATTCTGAAACCAATTTTTGTATTATAGATGGTGTTGCAAACACTTTTATTAGTAAAATATATTATGAAACTTTTTTCTCGATGAATTTGTATTCTTTTTAATAATAAATTTGAATATGAGTAGGAAATACTCTACAATCGTTTATAGTTAGAACTGAAAATGCTAAGTGTCACGACTGATTCTTACGAGTACTGCGATATACCGATGGTACTACGAATAAACGTGCCACATGAGCATGTGAGTATTGTTTTATGACAGTAACTTTTTTTCTTCTACTTAGGTCATCTGATCATGTCAATGAAAAGACGATATTGTTTTATAAAGAGTAAATTTTTTTTTCTTATCTTCAGTTTGTCTAATAGTCAAAGTGAGCAGTGAGTATTCTTTTACGAAGATAACTTTTCTTTTGTCTTTTATATAGATCTTTAAATCATTTCAATCAACAGTAAGTATTATTTCATTAAAAAAAAATCTTTTTTGCGCTATTTACTACGGATGAGGAGAAACAAATCATCTCTGTACTCATTCACCAAGACATGTACAAGCACGGTGATATACAGATCGAGACGTAGTCATAGTCGTACATTGAAATACTACGATCATGTCGAATCATTGAAAATATGACAGAGTGGATCATAAAAAAATAGCATTACAATAAAAAAAATGAAATACCTCTGCATCCATCTAATTTAATTGACAAATTTTTTTTTGTTAATAGTAGAAGTTAATTTGAAGTTTTTCTTTTTTTAATACAGATAAGGTAAGCAAATATCACTGTTAAGTGTTATTGTTAGTATCATGAAAGAAATTTTACCTGTTATCAAGTAACATATGCATGTATAGCGTTGGAGAGATAATTTTCAGTTGCTATCAAGGAGAATAGTAAGAACGAATTTGATGAATGAATTCGTATCGATGCACATAGAATAAGTTTTTAAAACTAGTTAGTTAAAAAGGCAATGAGAATACAACATTTCGAGTTTCGAAAACATGAAACACTATTTTTTTTTTTGCAAGGAAGTTGATGTTTTGCCATTCAAAAGACTACAATTATGTTTTATTGATTGGATACGAAGTTCAGCATTTAAACTGACTAGTTTTTAAAATTTATTCTATGTATATCAATACAGATTTTTTCATAAAGTTCGTTTTGATTTGTGTTCTTATCATTCTTCTTGATGACAACTGAAAATTATCTCTCAAACGCTATACACGCATTTTTTTATTTGATAATAGGTAAAATTCTTTTCATTATACTTTAGATCATATTGTTTTATCTCTCTTTTCTTATAACAATTAATCGACTATTTTTTTGTTCCATTTGTCTTCTTGTTCGTTTCATTTTAACATAGAAATTCTATTGATAATTAGTTGATTCGATATGAATTCGCATCCGATGTTAGACTATGGTTAATCTGAATTCAATCAATACTAAAATGATTAACTATTTAGATTTATTATCATTATAGTTTCTAGCATATAATATATTCTAATTGCAGCAGAAGAAAGTCATAGTCTATCCTTAATGTTTACATGTATAATTTAGATCAAGAATATTTTGTTAGATTCGAAATTAAACATTAGACACTAAACATATTATATATATTTTCTTATATATTGTTAAAAATGTATCACATGACTATTAAATCAATTTGAATGAAATGAAAATTCTTCATTTTGAACTATTTATTCATATGTTTTGGAGAGACATGCAAAAGATATTTTCAATAATAAACAAATTTTTCTTCAGCTAATGACTTAAATCTTATATTATTTATTTAATATTTAGCCAATTATTAGAGTGTATTCTCGTAATTAGAACGAACTTTTAACATTTTTCTGTTTTTACTCAAGTATCTCGGTTAAACATCAAACAAAATCAATTCCAATTTACTGACCAAGTCAGCACATGTCTTATCTATTTATTCATAAAAGAATTTGTACAAATGACTGAGAAATAATCCAGTCGTAAGTAATCGAATGAAATTGATTGATAACGTTTTGAATAGGTGCGATGTTCTTAATAAGAACTCCAATGACAAAGTTACACCGATTTAAAACGCATCAATGCAAATGTATAGAACAATATTCTTCTATGCATTTGCATTGATGCATTCTAATTTAGTGCAACTTTTGTATTGGAGTTCTCATGGAGGTTATTGCACCTATCCAGAACACCATCAGTCAATTTCATTCTATTACTTACGACTAGATTATTTCTCAGTCATTTGTAGAAATTTTTTTATGAATCAATAGACAAGACATATGCCGATTTGATCAATAAATTGAAGTTGATTTGTTCAATATTTTACCTAGATATGAGAGTAAAAATAGAAAGATATAAAAAAAAGTCGGTTCTAATTAGAAACATACATTCTACTTATTAGCTTTTTTTATAATCTTACTAGACATTGATCGATTATACTAACAATTTTTGATTCAAGCTTGTTAATGCATAATATTGCTTTTACATTTAATATTCATACATAAGTTGTATAAAACGAAAATAACGAAATTTTTATATGAACAATATGATAATATTATCTTTTTTATTATATTCTTGTCGTTCTTCATGTAAATATTTTTTTCACTTTGTTCTGCAATAAAAAAAAAAAAAAAACGTCAAAAAACAAGTAAGTATTATACGATAACACAATAGTAAAAAAAAAACGTAAAGATACATTTATCAAACGAAATGCAAGAACAACATATAATCAAATGGTTGATATTATTTATAACAATTATCAAAGGTGTTCATAGCGTTGATATATTTATTAAGAAAACTAATGATAACAATGATGAAAATATTGAAGAATTACAATCTTTTTATGATAAACCTTATGAAATGCCTCTTTTTCAAACACGTTATATTACAATACGTATTAATCCAAATGGCCTTCATCATGATCAAAATAAGAATAATCATCATGTTGTTGGATTTAAATTTCAAGTAAAATCAACCAATATTCGAGTAGTTAATGTTCAAAAAGAAGTTATGGTACCAACAAGAATAAAAAATATAAATGATTCAAATAATATTCTACTTGAAGATTTATTTATCTGTGAGTTGATAATTTTTTTTTAAATATTTTATTCGATTTCAAAAAAAATATTACTTAAACTTAATTTACAAATTCTAAAACTTTTATAGAAGTTTAAACCAGATTTTATTTATATCAGATTATTAAAATATTTGCAAATATATAGCGATCAAAAACAGATCATTTTCTCATTGATTGATAAACAGCAAAGTTATAAGTCTTTCTATACGAGATATTTTCTTATGATAGAAGTTTTCATATGTCAGACTTTATAAAAATTTAAATATTTTTATTTACCAACATGAACATTAGTGTCGTTCTATTATTTATGTATATTCTAATATTTTGAATAAGGCATTTCAAGAATAAACATAAAATAATTGCTAATAAGATTTCTATGATTCTCATATCGATTAGTCATATTCGTTGGATTATTTTAATTCAATATTACATTTATAACACATATACGATAAAAAGTAATCAATACTCAAGTATTTCTTTATTACGAGTACAGATACTCATAATTCGTCTTATCTTCTAATCTCTATATTTTTGCCTTGTAAATATAGGTAAATTATTTGTTTCTTTTCTAAAAAACACGTACTTGGAAATGTTATGATCAATTTAAATCGAACTTTATTTAATTTCTAGTACCTAGTAAAAATGCTCATGATCATATTTTTAATGCATATCCATCACCTACATTAATTTATCTTAAAAATGCGGCTACTATTGATATAATATGGTCAATAAAAAGTACCATGATGGGAATGACAGATTTAACATTTTCTTTGGATGTGTTTTATAATGATGATACAATATCATCATATACATGGTCATTAAATATTCTTGTTACACAACCAAAACGTTTAGTTGATAGATTATTTTATATAATATTACCTTTTCTTATTATATTTATTTCAATACAAATGGGTATATTACTTGATACAAAAATTTTAATCGAACTTGTTAGAAAACCAACACCAGTTATTGTTGGTTTTATTTCTCAATATGGTCTTATGCCATTTTTAGCAATGGCTATTGCAAAAATTTTTCGTTATTCGCCACTATATAGTCTTGCACTTTTTGTTATTGGTTGTTGTCCAGGTAAAATAAGATTTAAGATAAATATTTTCTTATATGAAGAAAATAAAAATAAAATCTTTTCTTTTTTTAGGTAGTGGTGCTTCAAATCAATGGACACTTTTATTTGATGGTGATGTTAATTTATCAGCTGTTATGTCATTTGTATCAACAGCTTCATCTTTTGTTATGATGCCACTTTATTTTTATACAATAGGACGTATTTATATGAGAGAATTATCTATCAATGTACCATTTTTAGGTCTTCTTCGTTCGTTAGCACTTGTTGTTATACCATATAGTGTTGGTATTGGTATTAGTCATTGTTCACCAAAAACTCGTGCCATTGTTGAAACTCTTGTTAAACCAATGATGTTATTTCTGTTAATATTTTTTCTTGTTTTTGGTACGATTGTTAATTGGTATTTAATTGTTACAATTGATTTACATACAGCATTAACAGCACCATTATTACCTTATTTAGGTTTTATATTTGGTGCTGTAATTGCTTGGATATGTCGTCTTAGTTGGATTCATATAAAAACAGTTGGTATTGAAGCTGGAATACAAAATACTGGTATTGCATTCATGATTATGTATTATTCATTTCCTCAACCATATGCAACACAAGCAATTGTTGTACCACTTGTTGTAGCCTTTTTAACAACAAAACCATTTTGGCTTGTTTATATGATACGTAGTCGTGTAAATAAATATAAAAAAAGAAAAGAATTAAAAAAAACTGAAAATTTAATAACAAAAGTCAATAATAATAATGGAGAAATAATTTTAGACAATGAGAAGCCATCTATTAATAATGAACAAAATAATACGCAAGAAGAGTATGTTGAAATGATGGAAAAATTTGTAAAATAGAAGTACGAAAAAAAATTAACATTAAACAAACAGTTGTTATTGTTATTAGAGTTATTTTTAATACTTTTTCATTTTTTTTTCATTAATAATGTTTTTATTTGTACTTGCCAATATGTTTTGTTTGTCCGTGTCAATTTCTATATGTGTATTGATTTTTTTCTCTCTTCTCTTTTTATCGGTTTTTTTCTTACTGATTTTTTTTTTATTCAAGTAATCAATAAAATAACACAGTGAAAGTAAAGAAAAGGAAACAAAAAAAAGAAATAAACCTTAAAAGATAACAGAATCAAAAATTAATGGAATTCATTGTCTGATTTGTGTATAACAAGAATGAATGCCGTTGATTCACATCAACAATTCAAATATGAATATATTGCTGGTGTATCTTTAGTATGATTATAGTTTGTTTTCTTTTTTTTTTTTTTTATGAAAAATAATTTCCTTTTATTTAGTCAAACGATCTTCATCGTTTGAATCAGGTCAATTAAAAAAAAAAGTCCAAATTAATAATTCTCCAAAGTGCTGTTTTTTTTTTATTCATAGATGAGTTCGAATGTGAATATAAATAAAGAACGCCAATTATTTCATAGTAAATTTAATAGTAAACAAAATCGTATGTCATCTGTTCCACTAATTGAACAATCTGGCAAAAAATCATTGGAAATAATTGGTTTTGAATTAGGACCAAAAATATCATCGAATAAAACTAATCATCAATTATTTATTAAAAATGCAAATTCTTCTATTCATTCAAAAGTAAAATTAACAAAAGTTGATCAAACAATGTTACAGTTACCGAAAAGAACAACATTTATAGCAAATCGAAGAGTACCGGAAAAACTTTTTTCAAGGTATAGACTAAAATAAAATCTTACCATTGATATTAACATTAATGGTTAGCGGAAGCGGAAGAAAAATTTAAAAAAAAACTATAAATTTTTTTTCTATTAATACATTTTATGACAAAATGCTTAGTTTATTCGTTTTTGAAAAAATCGAAGATATTGAAAAAAAACTCGGAAGAGTAAGTTATATATTTGCCTAAGTTACTAAAAACATGTTAATTATTTTGAAGTAATTTACATTGAATTCATTCTTTGATAAATATTTTAAATTGAGTTTCAATATATCGAAGAGGAAAAGAAAAATATTAATGAGAAAAAGATAGAAAACTATATTTATAATAATATCCTATATATGAAATCAGAATGTTAATAGCATTTTGATAAAGAACAGATTGTACGCAAAATTCCTATGAGATTAAAATATGAAATATAATGGAATTACTAGTATTGAAAAAGAGAGAAGTCGTCAATATATGTTTCTTTTTGTGAATAACTACCCATTGTGATGATGAAAGGTGTTTATCGTAATATATTACAGTGAATATGAAAGAAGAGATATGCTTCGTTAACAAGATATCTATCAAAATTTGTAATGAAGAAGAAGGGGGCGTTGCAACAGTATCTATTATGTCTGTGTGGGAGGGAAGAGGGTCAACTTTCTACTCCTATACTTCAACATGTTCCTTAGATCGTATTTCACAGAAAAAGAGAACTATTAATTTCAAGATAAACTATTGTTTTTCTCATTATTTCATAATGAACCTAACAAATAACTTAATTAAAAAACTTTTACATTCATTTTCAAATAGAGAAAAATGTGTAATAAAAAGAATCTATGTACTTTATTACCTATGTTCGATAGGTAAATATTTATAAAATAGCAACAAAATCTTTTATTGAATAAAATAAAATAAAATTTAATTTTGTTCAATAGAAATTTTTCTTTTCAGATGTTGAGATTCCCATAAAAAAATTTCATTTTCAATAAAACAAAAAAAAAACACACATTCTCTCAAAGGATACTTAATAGAAAAAAAAAATTACATTCTTTTTATTTATTTCTATTTGTAGAATATTGACATCACATGTACCTATTTCATCTAATCATCCAATATCAGATAAATTAACTAAAATTTCTTCAAATCGTCGAACGAATACATCAATACCAAGTTCAGATGATGTAGGTGAGCGTGTATGTCACTGCCTTTTTTTTTTCTTTTTATGTAGACTGAAGTATGTTTGTATACAATCTATTTTTCTCTTTCATTCAATTGTTTCCCATTAAAATGTAACACAGATTTCTATGAGAATGTAAAATAACTAAAACAAAAAGAAAAACGAAAAGTTTTAGCTTTTAAAAATGTAACTATTAGTTCTTTTTTTTTTCCTTCTTTTTCTGACGGTATGCTTTTTTAACTGTTTTAAGAAATCGATCATGACACAACGAACACCATCAAATTTCACAATAAATTCATCTATAACAGTTTTAAAGAAAATACCAACACCTAATAATCAACTTTCACCAAGATCATCGAAAAAATCTCAACAATCTTTTGGAAGTTTAGGACGAAATACAACATCAATTAAATTACCTACATTAGTCAAACGAACAGCATCATCAAGTAATATATATATATATATATATATATATATATATATATATAATGAAATAATATAAGAGAAAAAAAAACCTATGAAATTTTTCTTTTTTAGTTATCAAACCAATACCATCAGCATATATTCAAGATTCATCGTATGATTTAGATTTAATGTAGATTTTATAAATATATTTTAAATTTTTCAGACAACTTCAAATACCTTCTTCAAATTTTACAAATCGATCTATATTACAACCAACACCAGTTCTACCAATTTATGCACCTCATCGTTCAGTAACATTATTTGCTGAACAACAACATTTACCATTAATAAAAGATCGTATAATCAAAGCTAATCTTTCACAAAAAGCAAGTTTTAAATGTAAATCACCACCATTACACCGACCAGATAGTTCACTTAGTCGTTCGACTACTGCTGTAATTAATGCTTCTCAATTACAAACAAAAACATACAATCCACTTAAAGTACAGATTATTCTAAAAGTCCATCGGAAAAGTTAACGTAAATATATCTCTTATACAATTCAAGCGATTCAGTCAGTATGTATAAGTATGTTCGGTATGTTTTCAGAAAAATGTCTATGCCTATAAACATTTGAAATAAAATAATTTTATAAATAACCGAATTTGACTCATCTATGGTTTTGAAACGAAAACTACAAGTCGACTTGGGAAAAAAAACAGACGAAATGAAGATGGCATGAAAATTACATTTCAATACGTTTGTGAAACTGATACAATGAAAGATCATCAAAAAATTACAAAAAAAAAAGCCGACAAGTTTCATCACAGAGATGTTCATGACGATGTTGCCGCTATGGCGGTGGTGTCACGGCAGCGGCAGATTCTCAACCGCAATGGACATCTATGGTTCATAATGTTTGTGAAAAATGAACTACAATCACGTGTTCGAACTGTTGGAAAGGTCGACTTCATTCTATGAATAAATTGTATCTTGTACTGCATATGATTATGGTTCATTTTTCACAAACATCATGGATTTCGTCGGCTTTTTTTGTTCTGTAATTTTTGACGCTCTTCCATCGTATCAGTTTCACAAACGCATTGAAATGTAACTTTCATGCAAATTTTATTTGATGTATTTTTGCCGAATTCGAATTGCAGTTTTACTTTCACAATTATAGTCAGCTCAAATTTGATCATTTATAAAACTATTTTTATTCTAATGTGTATAGACATTTATCTGAAAATCTATCGAAAGTACTTGCATATTAAATTCCTTGAATTGTATAAAAGATATTTACGTTAACTTTTAAGACACACTATATATTTATCAAAACAAATTGAAATTTTGTCCTAATTATAATTTCAATAAAATTGTTTTTTTTTTGAATAGCATCTAGATGTAGGTTTATTACTTAATGAAGCAACACGGAATAGATTGAAACGATTATTTCAACAACTTGATACAGATCGAGATGGGTATAAGAAAGACTATTCTTTTCTTTTTTTTTTTGTTTTCAATTATTACTATTTCTACATAATTCTTTAGACATCTAACATATACTCAAGTACAAAAATGTTTACCATTAAATTTACCTCGTGCTCAAGAAACATTTTTTCGTGTGGTTTGTATAATTTAAATAAAATCATAATCTTTGTATTTTCATATTCATTATTTTGTTGCTATTAGTTATATGATATAACAAGTGATTCAACTTTTTTTGGTTTACAAGAATTTTATGCAACAGCTGTACTTGTTGATATGGTAGCTAAACAAGAGTAAGAAGAAAAATTTTCTTTTTTTATTTCTTCAAATAAATAGTTAGCAATTTTTTTTCAGCCCACAAATATGGAATTCATTATTAGATGATGTTGATTTTAATTATTATCATGATGATGTACTTGAATTACTTGATGAATTTGATAGTCGTTATTCACCTGTAACATCTACAATAAATTTTGATAATCTTGTTGGATTAATTATGAATCGAACAATAAATGGTAAATATGAACGTGTTACAAAAGAATTAGAAAGTTGTATTCCTATGATAAAAACAATGAAATTTACTCGACTAGAATTTATTGCTCTTATACCAATTATTATTTATATTGAATCATGTCTTGATAATGGAAAACCATTATTTCGTTTTCAAGAAAATTCCATACTTAATTTACATATGCAAAAAGCATTATTAACTTAAAAGTTTCTTTAATTATTTGTCTGTGTTAATAAACATAATGGCAATACTAAATGAAACAATTTTTTTCATTTTGATGAAATCAAACATTTTTAAATCAAACTAGTAAACGAGATGTTTTTTTGTTTTTTGCTTTTTTCGTGTGCATCATGAATCATATGATGTTAACGAAAATTTATTTTATTGTGAAATTATTCTACTTAATAAAAGAATAAATAACTTTTCAATTCAAAAAGAAAAATAGTTCGTATTGATTGTTTTAAAATTCAAATATGATCAAAACAAAAATTCTTCAATATCATCGATTTTGATCATCTGTATAGCTTACATATCAAATGTTTTCATTCAAATAAGTTGGAAGAATTATCGTTCATTATCGATCGTGTTCAATTTATCTGTTTTAAACGGAATATTTCTTTTTCCTCGAAAGTTGAAAGAAGAATAGTAAATATTTCGGAGTTGTATGTTAAAAAGCGACCTCTATTGAAGATATACCTTATATATAACTTTGCAAAGAAATATATTAGTCTTGTAATTCAGAATTGAATTGTAAGTTTTCTTTTATTTTTAGTTTTTACTTGTTTTATATTTATTGCCGGAAATCCTTGGCAATCTCTCCAGAACAATCCATAACAATGGCTTTCTTGCCTGGATTAAGTAAACATGTCATTTACAAAAAAATTATTTAAATGAAAAAATGAAGTTATGAAAAAAGAGAAGAAGAAGAAGAAGAAGAAAAAAATCATTCATTTTTCTTTTCTCTTATAAAAAATGAATATTTGAAGGGTGCGGGTGTCTAATTTAGAAAAAAAGAAAGAAAAAAAAATGAAAAATAAGAAGGAAAAAGATATTTGTCATAAGTGATAATCTATACTTTTCTATTAATAACTCAATTATCATAATCATTATTTTTTTTTCTTTTCTTTCTATAAAAATAAGTTCTTTTTGTTATGAAATATCTATTCACTTTTTGTTTTACTTTAGAGTGTATAATGTCACAATGTAACCTGCTGCTTCTACTATATTTTACATAAACGCCTACGTATGATGATTGTACGAAAGATATTTTTTCTTTTTTTTACATTTCTTTTGATTATTTCTTAGTTTTATCATGTGTACACATTCAGTAAGTGGATCAAGTCTTTTATCAGGTTATGATGAAGATGATGCACATGAAACAAATGGACGATCAAGACGTGAATTTGAACAAATTGATGCTGTTCTTTATAATGAAGATATACCTAAACGTTCATCGATGAAAAAAATTTGTGAAGAATGGTCAAGTAAACCACATTTTCGAATTCGTGGTCGTTTATGTTCTATTGATCTACAACAAGATATTAATCAAATAGAAACAAAATCAAATATATTATCATCAAATGATCATTTTAAAATATCTTGTTTAGATACCAATGAATTAAATGTAAGTTTACGAGAAGATAAAACAAAAAAAAGAATTTATATATTTGAAGTAACTATGGAAATAATTCTCAGATTATTTATTCTTTGTTTTCTAACGACTATTATACTTTTAATTAAAACTCAAACACTTGTAAATAGAATTCAAAATTGACAAAGTGCTTTTCAAGGTTAAAATTTTATGTGTTCTTTTGCCTTTCTTTTTATTTAAAGAAACATTTCATTACATTTTGTTCTATATAATGATAATGTA